TATTGCAATTTGGATGATCTATCTATGTAAAACTGCCCTGAACATTTATAACATCCTGTCTTGCGCTCTATCCCAGAGTTGTTCATCTTCAACAAGACGCTCACCATCTCCGGAGATAGCCTAATCGGGCAACAATTATCCCGGGCTCCGGCCGGTGGGGACCGGGTACCCGTCGGATACCCGAGTACCCGGGTCCCCGTACTCAACCCCTTCAAAGTTAGACCGGACAACATCATTCCCAGGCCAAAGCAACACCGTATGACCTCATAGCCCGGCCTAATGAGTTCTTCCAACAGCGACGTCCCAGCTCGAAATAGCAGAGCCACTCGCTCTTCTTTGGCGTGTCTGCCATGTCGCGCACGCCACCTCAAGTGCGATGGCAAGAAACCGGAATGCACTCGATGTGCTGAAGCTGCTAGGGAATGTCTCTACGCCCGCTCTCGCAGAGGTGGTCTGGACCGTGCAGCATTGGCAGAACGACGTCAACGGCTCGCTGCGGCAGAGGGTCTACCGTCTCTGGGCGACGTTGAGCCAGCTCCAGTAAAAAGCCCACAGCCCCAGGCCCTGGTCGGACAGAATTCGGAGCCTCTACTGTTGTCGCCTGGGTTCACAATCCCTGATAATCCTAGCTTATTAGGCGGTTTCGGCCTTGGTGAGGGTTTCTCTCGCCCAACACCTCCAGCATCACCTCAGGTTCAAGTCCAGGACATCGAGCATGATGCTCTCGTCAACTTGTACTATAAGGACTTCCACAGGTTCCATCCTTTCATCCTACCTAAAAGACACTTGATAAAGCTTTGCCAAGACCCAGCCAGAGAGGTCAGCTTCAAACCTTTGGTCGCTGTCGTACGGTTCATCGGTCACCTTTACGACTCCAAGCAGTGGTCTACCTCCTTCAAAGACTTTGTCGAACTTTGTTTCTTACAAGCATCACCAAACGACCTGTTCATGGTACAATGCCGCCTCTTGTATTCAATAGCGCTTTTCTGGCATGGATACAAAGAAGACTCAAAACAGCAAATGGATGCTGCCGTTCAGCTTGCCCTACAACTTGGAATGCCCCGTCAAGAGTTTGCCACAGAGAATGGATGTCAAGACCCAGTGTTGGTAGAGTGTTGGAGGCGGACGTGGTGGATGTTATTCATCGTGGATGCCTTTTACGCAGGCACATTGGGCGCCATGAACTTTGCGACGCTGGATGTTGAGGCTACCGTTGAACTGCCTTGTGAGGAATCCGAGTATGAATCAGGGGTAAGTGGCTGTCTTCATTGTGATAATAGATGTAGCCCTTGCTAAGACCCAGACAGGAAATCCCCGAACCCAAGACCATGGAAGAGTTCGAGTGTCGTGAGTTCGCTTCCGACGAAACGTCGTTCTCTTCCTTCGCGTATCTTATTGGCGCTGTACGATGTGCAGCATTGGCAATCTCGATAGCACCAAAAGTTGCTATCAAAGAAGCCTCAACGCAGGTCATTGAAGCTGCCGACTCTGTCGTTGATGCATGGCTCCTTTTACTGCCTAAAGATGACAAGCAAGTCATTTCTAAGACTGGAATAATTGACGAGCTCATGTTCCAAGCGCATTTGGTGATTCATGTGTAAGTCTTCCATCGTAACTCTGCTATAGGTGCCTTTGAGGGCATGGATTGGTACTAAGGATTGATATTTTCAGTGCAACAATCGGCCTCCACAGGCCTCTATCAGACCTCAGGTTCAACGCCATCGAGAGCGTCTCAAGTTGTGCTCGGGACCCTCCCACTGACTCCCCCACACCAGATCTGATCAACGTACACACAATACGTGTCCTGAGATCAGTACAAGCTCAGATTCGTTTCCTGGCACTGCCGGCTCGACCCTTCAATCACACTCCATTCATCACTTGCATGGTGAGTGAAGGCACACTGGCCCTACTCTCGGCGTGCAACTTCCTACACAAGGGAAAGGAGCTTGCAATAGCAAGAGATCAGATCCGCATGACCATTGGGTGTTTGAAAACATTGGGGGAGGTATGGCCTAGAACAGCGAGGAATGTGCGGGAGATTCAGATGATTGCACGGCATGTGCTTGGGTTAGGGCAAAAGTCTACGAAGAGCAATACTCCCCAGTCAACTGGAGTACCCAGTCTCTCTGGCGGCGAGGGACAGGAGACGTTTAGCTCTAATGGAGGACACCTGAGCAGTGACGATGATATCCTGGCATCTCTTGCGAACATGGACACAGTATGTGGATGGTATAGTTCCAGTGATTTCGCAACAGATATGTCATGGTGGACAGGGCAGTAATGATTATAGCCCGCCGGCCGCTCACGCATCGTTGTACGTTGATGCATCTCTTCCGTGTTGTCGATTATTACGTACGGGTCCCATCCGCCAAGAGCTTTGGATTCGGCGAGGTCTCTTGTTACAAAGTACTCAGTAATTCATGATGAGCCTTTAAAGACACATGTGAAGTGACTCACATCTCATACAGGATAATGGACAAAAAGCAATCTATTTCAGCTGACCGCATAATCTACAGTCTATCAGCCAAGCCATGGCACCTACTCCTTATACTTCTTCCCTGCCAATACATCATGGCTGACATGCTCAAACTCAATAACGACCTTATGTCCTCGATTTCTCTGTTGGGCATGAAGCCAGGCCTGTTCTGCCTCCTGGAACGGGAAAGCCTTGACGGCCAATGCCTTGATACGCCCGCTATCAATCATCTCAGATGCCTTCCGTAGCCTCTCCGCGTTGGCAGAGACGATGAAGTGCAGATACCTCACGCCTGGATTCCCGATAGATTCGACAGCTGTTCCCCGTCCAAAAGCCCAGGGCGGCGGCGGATCTCCAACGGTTACAATGACACCGTTCTCCTTGACCGTCTCCCAAGTCTTGGCCAAGATATCCCCGCCGACAGTATCAAAGACAACATCCACATCCGAGATTAGTCTTTCCCAGTTTTTAGTATTGTAGTCCGCCACTTCGCTTGCACCAAGCTTCATAAGAGCTGAATGGTGTTGAGTTGAGGCCAAGGCAATGATGTGGGCTCCAACCACCTGCTTGACAAATTGGACGAGCATTATCCCAACTGCACCGGAAGCCCCAGTAACAAGGACCTTCATATCAGGCTCAAGTTTTCCGTGTTCAGCCATTGCCTCCCAGGCTGTCAGAACCGGGATCGGCAGCGCAGCCGCCTCCGCATGTGAGATCGATGCTGGCTTCGGAGCAACCTCGTCGGGGGAACAAATGACGTATTGGGCTTGACCTTGACCTCGGTCTGCATCCAAGAATGCAAAAACATCCTGGCCAATTCTCAACGGCCCGTTGTAGTCAGGGCCAAATGCAGAAATGACGCCAGAAATGTCATGGCCTGGGATTCGAGTTGGGGTGTTGTAGACTTCAGGCCATAGAACTTCGTCGCCAGTGATTCCAGCAGCGTAGACTTGGACAAGGATATCGTCGTTTTCAGGCTCAGGGGTCTTGACAGAGTGATTGGTGGCAATTTTGGGGCATGATTTGTCGCCCAGGATTTGAACGGCTTTCATTGCAGTGATGATTGATGATGATGACTCTTGGTAGAATGTGGGAGGAATAATGAATGCTGACCCGATACTTCCAATGCTTGAGAAGCATGATTTAAATAGCATGCACTAATAGATTACAAAGTATCTGGTTGTCAGAGATGCCACTGTTTACTGGGTCACCGGTCAGGCGTCTCGGAGCACCCGGGCGGAGCATCGGGAATCCGCTTACACGGGGAATCGGCAATTGAGGTGGGGATTCCGATCAACCTCCTCACATTCCGTCTTGCGGTTCCTGACTATCAAGTCAGCATCCGGATACTCTTTTCCAATAGTTTGAGAAGGAGGAGGGTCAATGGGTTACGTTAGGAATATCCGGCATTAAGGCTCATTGTCAGGAAGAATAAATAGTGAGTACGACTAAGTAGCCATGATAATTGTTGGTCAAACTCTCAATATGCTCATCCAATTGCCTGGATTCTCCTCCAACCTCCCAAAATGGAATCCAAAGCCAAAGAAACTCAGTAGGTTGCAATCAGAAGAGATGTTTATTGTATGTGTATTGACTTCAATGTGCCTCATAGGACTCGGCCGCGAGAGATTGTCCGGGTGCTCTATGACTACGAGCTCAAAAGCGCACCCGGAAAGTCCATCATCGCTCTCGAGCTTGAGTACCCCCCAAATGGCTTTACGCCTCCCCATCGCCATGGTGGGGCTACAGTTATGGCTCTTGTAACTGAGGGACACATCTTGAGTGGCATGAACGGCAATCCCCCCAAGGTGTACGAGGTCGGAGAAAGCTTCATCGAGCAGCCCGGCTGCCACCATACGGTGGGGGAGACTAACAGTCAACACAAGAGGGCCAAGGCGATTGCCGTGTTTTTCGTCGACACTGAAGTCGTGAGGCAGGGATACGAGGGATTGACCATCTTGGATAAGGGATGGTGAAGGGAACTCACCTGGTGGGCTTTATAGTTAGGCCATCATCAAGTACTCTCTTATCTATCAATAAGGTATCGAGGTCAGTAGTATGTATATGAAACTAGTCGTCTCTAGAATAGAGTGTACTGTTTATCCTTAAGCGGTTCAAGGACGACGGTCTTCTTGATGTGACTTTTCCGCCTCGGAGACGGCAAAACGCTCTCAGCTTAGAGACATATCAAGAAAAGAGGCTATTAAAATCAGGATATCATTTATTACGTCTATCAAGTAAAGTTATCAACTGAAAAAACACTCAACGTCAAAACATGCCCAAGATCTCGATCGTTCTGTTAAGGCTCTAGCGTATACTCGCCAAATTAGGGAGCTAATTGCTAGAGTGCTAGCTGTCCAATCATGCCGGCCAACCATCTCCGGAACCAACCGGATGTAATCGAGCTCGGACTTTCTTCAACCCCGAGGTCCGAATCTCGTCATCCACTCATTCGGCCTTGTCATCGATTAGTCACCTTGTTTGACCGCGCCGATCTCCCTTCGCTGGCCCCAAGTTCCCATCACGCAACAATCTTCTGGAAGTCATTGAGTGCAATTGAGTGCCATTAAAGTCTAGACCATGGCCGAACACCCTTCCTTTACCCTTGCTGGTCTTTGTAAGTCTCAATCTGTGCCGCTTCTTGGGTATCTACGGCTAATCTTGACTTCGAACTGCAGTGGCGGCTGGCGGAACCGCCGGCTATCTGCGAACCCGGTCAACACCCTCTCTCGTCGCGGGGCTAGGACTGGGCGTTTCGTACGCCTATGCCGGTATGAAAACTCCCTTGAGAGTTGACAACTGGCTGTCCTGTTTACTCACCACTGTGCTCTAGGCTACCTTCTCAAGACCAACCAGGACTATGGCGCCGAGCTTGCCCTCGGAAACAGCGTCCTTCTTACCGGATCTGCTATCCCCCGGATAATCAAGACGGGAGGTAGGGCACCAATTCCTCTGGCACTTGGTGCTGCTGGCGGACTGGCGACGTACTACTACCAAAAGAAGTATCGCGAATTTACGTATGGCGTTTAGAGGGAGTTATGATAGAGGGAAAGTTTCGGCAAGACAGACTCGCAACTTCTGGTCACCAGTGTTCACTTGGAGTTCAATACCAAAATATACCAATAACCATTCCGCTCAAGAATGAACGTTGCCCTGGCTCACAGTTATCAAGGGTCTCATCAATTTCAATGTCTGCCTATGAGCGAGGTCGAGGAACTGAGATACCACATGAGTAAGTCTTGATAGAGGGCGATCCCTGACTCGAAAGTAAGGCTGTTTGGGGGATGGTTCAGTAAGGGCCAGTGTCGTTTGGCGCTCGCAAATTGCATCAAGAGTATAGTTAGGTCAGCGGCCAGTGCTAGTCGATCCAGCACAAGAGGAGCGGGATCTTTCAACTTGAAGAGTGCATTCTTAGACTTACAGAAACGTCACAAGGTTGGAAAAGATGATTAATTACAAGGGCACAGAGAGCAGGAGGCAAAGAGTTTCCAAAAACACAAAAATGTAAATTAGCAAGTAAATATAGCTCTTAGTAGTGAGTGTAGACTATGTACTGTGAGTCGAAGAAACCATCCCGTTCCCTCTCAGTAACTCAACCAAGACAAGAAGTGAAGGTTGACATTAACATGAAACATGACATTTTAATGAATGTGGGCCGTCAAAATCCCAAATCAGGAGTCGCTCTCGTAAGAGTGATCTCTTAAGAAGGGTTGGCGACGCAGCCCTTGTTCTGGTTCTTCCAGGTGAAGCCAGCATCGCAAGAGCAGACCTTGTTGGCCCACTTCTGGCCACGCTTGAGGCAGACGCAGCGAGCCTGCTTGTTGTCGTACTGGGCGTCGTCACCGCAGTCGGGGACACACTTGGAACCGTTCCACTTCTGCTCATCGGGCTTGGGGCAAGCACAAGCACCGTTGTTGAACTGCATGCCCTTCTTGCGGCAGATGCAGGCACGGGCCTTCTTGTTCCAGTCGGCATCGTTGCCGCAGGACTCGTGGCAGATACCGTCACCCTCCTCGTAAACATCAGTGGACTTGGCGCAAGCGCAGCTGGCGCTAGCGGAGCCGCTGGCAGGAGTGTAGGTGTAGGCCTTGACGTTGCAGATGCAGGCAGACTTGGCGCTGTTCCACTTGGCGTCGGTGGTGCCGCAGTCAGAGACACAGCCGAATCGGGAGAGACCAGTGTAGCCAGCCTTGCAGCCGCAGCCAGTGGCAGCGTCCTTGAACTCAGTGTTGGGCTTGTCGCAGATGCAGCCATCGAAGGTAGGGTTCAGCTTGGCGGAGCCGCAGTCGTAGATGCAGGCAGGTTGCTTGGCGGGCTTGGTGGTGGGCTTGTAGTTGGTATCACACTCGCACTCAACGTTGCCAGTCTTCAGGTGGGCGTGGCTAGGGCACTGGCAGGCGCTTCCGTCGGTCTTCAGAGTAGCAATACCAACGCAGACAGGGACACACTTGTCAGAGTTGGAGCCGGTACCGGGAACGAAGGGAGCAGTGCACTCGCAGTCAACCTGGTTCTCCTTGAGCTGGAAGTGGGGCTGGAGGCATTCGCAGCCAGAGTTGTCGGTCTTGGCAGTAGCAGTGCCGCAGTCAGGGACGCAAGAGCCAGCATCAGCGTTGGTTCCGGGCTTGAAGTGAGTCTTGCACTCGCACTCCTGCTCGTTGGCAGTGAGCTGCATGTTGGCGCCATTGCACTCGCAGCCAGTGAGGCCAGCGTTGGGAGTAGCACCGTTGGAGCAGTCGGGGATACAGGTGTTGGCCTGGCTGCCGCTACCGAGGGAGTACTTGGTGTTGCAGGCACACTCGCGGTCGTTGTTGACAAGGTGGGCGTTGACATCGTCACACTTGCAGCCAGAGTGGTCGGCCAGGGGAGTAGCGCCGTTGGAGCATCGAGGGACACACTTGTCAGCATCGTTGCCAGTGCCAGGAACGTAGTCATCCTCGCACTCGCACTCTCGGCCGTTGGCAGTAAGCTTGAAGTGAGAGGCCTCACACTGGCAGCCAGAGTGGTCACCCAGGGGGGTAGCACCGTTGAAGCACTTGGCGACACACTTGTCAGCGTCGTTGCCGGTACCAGGGATGTAGTCATCCTCGCACTCGCACTCTCGGCCGTTGGCAGTAAGCTTGAAGTGAGAGGCCTCACACTGGCAGCCAGAGTGGTCACCCAGGGGGGTAGCGCCGTTGATACACTTAGGGACACACTTGCCCTCGTCGTTGCCGGTACCAGGGATGTAGTCGGGTTCACACTCGCACTCCTTGCCGTTGGCCTTCAGGACAAAGTGGTCGCCGGTGCACACGCAAGCAGTGGAATCGCCGTTGGGAGTAGCACCGTTGGAGCAGTCGCGGACACAGCCGGTAGCGGGAGAAGTAGCAGGGATGAAGTCGGTATCGCAAGAGCAGGTGGTGCCGCTGACCCAGTTGTTGTGAGGGCCGGGGCAGATGTCGGTACACTTGGAGCCGTCGTCGGTCTGGCTGTCCTGGTCACACTTGCAGTCGCCACCCTTGAACTTGAGGTAGCTCTTGCGGCAAGCGCACTGGTTCTTCCAGTTCACGTAGGCGCTGGAAGGGCAGTCGGCGATACAGAGAAGGCCGGACACCTTGTAGCCAGTGTCGCAGCCGCAGTCGCCGTTGCCGTCCATCTTGAAGACGATGGACTTGCAGTAACACTTGCCGCCAATCTTCAGAGTGTTCTGGCCGCAGGTGACACGAGCCTCTAGAGAGGAGGTGTCGCGCTCGCTGAGGGACGAGGCGGCCACAGACCCGAGGGTCAGGAGCAGGTTGAGAGAGAAAGCCTTGAACAACATGGTGAATGTTCAGGAGGGAGAGTCGTGGGGAGCAAACAAAGAATTGGCAAGGGCGGATGCCTTGAAAGACCAGAGAAGAGCTGCTGGTATTTGTTAACCAATGATTGAACTGAAGCTTGTTGCCTGAAGAGTTGAGATGAGAGAGAAGGAGACGGGCTTCTTATACAAGTTCGAAGCTGTATGCATCGTGGTAGATTCACCACCTAGTTGACGGCCATCTACGCCCCTTTCCCGCCCAAAAGGCGATAATCATGAGGCGGCAATTGCTTCTGGCAATTTAGACCCTGAGTGATGCAACTAGTTCGGCGGGGGTTTCTTCTCTCTATGTCCGAGACTAGACCGTCCTGGAAGCGCCAGCTCATTGTGATCCAGCCCTCTGGCTGCAGAGAGCCCCGCGGTGGCGCCTAGTGACTGTCGCTCGCAACTCAGTGAGCTCGAGAAGGGGTTAGCAGAAGCCTCACCGGCGGGCATGAGCTGGATTTGGAAACCGTTCCCAAATAATCCAGCCTTTTTCGATAGCTTGGCGTTAGCCCCAGCGATAGTGACCCAAGCCTAGAGCCTCCTGGTGGCCCGAAGCGCCGGGACGTTGTGAAGGAGGCTAATAAGGTTGGCAACGTCTAGCTAGCGGAAGCTAGAGAGCAAAAAGAAGCAATAACGTGGAAGGGCGCCACAGACGCCCTTGGTGCTCTACCAATCTCGTAGAGGTTGATCTGATTCGCCAGGGACATGCCGCGTGAATTTCAAGTTTGCTTCTTTCGTGTCATGCGGAAGTCGGCCAGAGTGAAGCTGAAATTTAGGTCTGAAAGAGAGCAAACCATGTCTGCACGCCAGTAAACGCTATTGAAATCTAGGCCTGACCGCAGTTGATTGTTTACTTTGCCAATCTACAGAATCCATGGACACGGTACTATATGGCTTGATTAAGGATGAGACAAAACTTCCATGATCCATGAGGATGGGGAGAGACATCTCAGTCGGATGGGGGCGGCACAGTCCCCTCAGAGGACCCTGATGATGCGTCGATTGGCTCAGAGCAATGACACCAGCCTACATACACCTACATCATGCTGGGGGCGATCCTGAACATCACCGCCAAGGAACTGGCCCTATCTTGGCTTTTGCTTGTCCTCCCCGGTCAAATGCCGGCTTCCCGAATCAAGGGTCTGGTCCAACAGGGTCCGTAGCTCATCCCCATACATCAGCTCGCCACGAACGAGATCTCGACCAACACTTTCCCCATTCGGTGGCCCCGGGGCCACCGATGACTGTCGGCTGCAGGAGCTCGGTCCCAGGGCGAGGCCCAAGCAAGGATGATCATGCCAATAGCTTCATGGAGCACTAGCGTCGACGGGGTATGCATCAATCGAGGAAGACAGACCCAAGCTTCTGGTCGAGAGGGGCTGGGGCTTCGGAGATTCAGGGTCGTGCTCAGCCCTGGATGCTACAAGAGAATCTCACCAGGAGTTGATGGTCGAGATCTCTTGCTTGGCAGAGAGGCCTCGAAACCGGCGATGTTTTGCCCCTATTCACCGCGTCTCCTTTCCCTGTCCCAAGATCCCTCTCATTTTATTTCCTTCACAACAAACGCCCGATGGCCCGACGGCTGCAGATCGTAACACCAAGTCCTTCTCCAACTGGCCAAGCCCTCAGCCCAACAAGTCTGGGCATGCACGGCATTGGCTAAATCGAGGGTGATGCTTGGCTGGCCGGGGTGCTTGTTCCGCCATTTTGGAAAAGGAGGTACAGTCCCCACAAACAACTAACCGCATCAGGGACGAGGCGTCGACACTGTCCAGGCACGTGGCGTCTCTGGTCAGGGCTGAATGATCCCAGCGTTACCATTCCCGCCCGAGAGCCGAGCCTTGGCTGTCATTTCTATGCATATTATGCATGTTGGCCTTATTCATCAATCTATCGAGGCCACACGCGCCACACCACGCCATGTCACTGTATCGTCTCGATAGCTTCGAAATCCGCTGGGGCCTTTGCGATGCCCCTGCTAGCCTCGCCTGCTATCGCTGCCGATTGGTCATCCCGCACTCACGCCGACTGTCTAACCACTTGCCAGCGAATCCAGACTGGCGGCCGCCACGGCCGAGGTCCCTCGCCTTGACGTGAAAGTCGCGAGAACTGCTCTTGTGGCTCGAGTAGCCAAGCAATAGCGTGCTCCGGCCTGTCGCTCTAACCATACGTCTCTGAGCATGAGGGACCGAGGACCCGCTATGAGGAGCCCAAGGCGCTCACGCTTGCTACGTATGTCAGACAATGTGCTGGCGCTGGTTTTGTAGCGGTCCTGGTGGCTCCAATAGCTTCCTGGTAGCTTCTGTCGGTCTGGACATTGATCGACTCATTGTCACCCGACGAGTTCGCCGAAGAGGCCGCTCGTGAGTGATGAGCACAGCTGGAGGGCGGCTACACCTGCAACCACCAAACAATATCCGAAGTGTGGCTTCGCAGACATCAGGGGAGCTTCTCTAGCTGCTAGACGTCTCTGGAGCGGGTCAAACACATGGTTTCGAGGTAACCCGCCACTCCCACTTCTTCTCCTGTTTGACATTGTCTCTGACCGTTGGTGGCCTTATCCTCAGCAGCTCGTGGAGTAGAAAAGAATCAATAGTGGCTTCAGATCAGTACCGGCTTTTGCATAACTCAGGGGCAAGCGGGGTTGTAAGTATGGGAAAGGAACAAAATGCCAATAGTAATGCCCCCTTATTCAGCCTCGGGGACCTAACGGCCAATCCATTTTTCTGGATTCCGCCTTGTGATTGGATGTTATGTTTTCGGCCCCTACCGCAAAGCCACAAAGGATCTTCTCCTCCGCCTTTCGGCAGGGGTAAATTACAGTGTTCCTGTGGCGTCTGGCCTTGACTCTCCGGTCTTACCCGCAAGTAAACGGGGCTAGACTCGCCCACGGAGCCGGCCAGTCATCGACCATTGGTTAGTTAGTTCCAATACTGTTTTCTTCTTTTTGCAGCGTAGAATGAGTGGCGTCTTCTGGCCGGAGCTGACAACCCGCGGATAGCCTCTGCGAGATTATCTCGTAGTCAACAGGAGACGGTCTGTGATCGAAGTTGGCCGATCAGTTTGGGCAGAGGATTGCATCAAGGTTGTTGATTCTCTTGGTTAAGCAGTGTCCGGTTCATCCACCATCTTGCTTTGCCATGTGGCTGATATGTGTGTACGGGTATGTCACTGCGCCAAAGATCGGCGGCTGTACACGATCGCTCTACTGCTAGTGAGGGATGATCGTGACGAAAATCTAGACGATCCTTTTCAGTGTTCTAGAGCCATCTGTCTGTGTGTTGTTGAACGATCCAGAACCATCAACCAGGTTGGGTGAGATCGAAGGGCTTGACCAGCTGAAAGGATGCCGACAATGGATTTTGTAGTGGCGCGGCTGATCATCACCCGGTTCCGTTTCCTCGACACATGATATCGAGTGTCTGCAAGGTGTCTATAGCAATTACGTAGTTACAGTTGGGTTGTTGATCTGAATGAGTGCCGCGATGTTGTTGTATGTGCCATGTACGTCAAGCGTGACTTTGAAATGCGTGCTCATGGATGACACAATGGAGGATCAGAGAGGGCGATCATGGACAAGATGGCTCTGAAGAACCGAGGTGGAATCTTTGGTAAATGCCGCAAAATGTCAGCAGCTCGAGGGCAGCTTTGCTCAACCCTAGAGATCCGTCGCTGTAGGGTAATGTGTGACAACGGGATGAGACGGGTGTATGATGCTTCAATGGGTGGTCAGAGAGTTGTTGTGAAAGATTCTCATTGCTCTCGCAAACAGTTTTGTTTGTTTTTAACATCTCAACTCTCCATCTTCTGGTGTCTATTAGTTGTGTATGACTGTCGTGAATATTTCCGCGGTACGCGAACATTTTGGGTTGGTTACGGCGTGGAATGGAGTAGCTTTGAGTGCACGCGATTCAACACATGACAAGGGCTAAAAGAAAAGGCAACACAATAAGCTAAAACCCGAGAATGTTTCCATTCAAACTTGACTATGATTTAATTCGTTTAGCAAACCTGAAGCTGGAGTGTTCACCTCAAGTTATCTGATCTCAGCTGCCGAGCTTATCGATAGTAACTCTCCCGATGGAGCATACCACGTGATAACACTCTCACTACCAAGAAGCGACGCGGGGAGATTTGGGTGATGCGCAATCAACGAATTATCTCTCTGATCTGGGCTGCCATGTCGCTATCTTGAACGACAATAATATTGACTGGCCTATGATATGGCGATACTGCATATTGTTTTGGCTCTGTTGGTTGGCTAGGCTAGCTAACCAAGCTCGCCATCGCCATGTTACCTTTCGTGACTGGCAGCTAGTGCTAGGTATATGGCGCAATCCATGGTATCCCATCATGTTAAAACCCAGCACTCTTCCCCTTCTCTGCATTGTTTTGTGCTCCTGCCTTTGATCTCTGTTCATCAACGCTGATTCACATGAAGTGAACAAAGGCACCAAACACGCGCTCGACGCGTCAATCTCGCGACCCTCAACACCAAGTCCCAGCCACCCATTTATCGACAAGATGCGATACTCGATAAACGCGTATGCCACACGGACGAGAGGGCTCGAGCCACCGATAAGCCCTATCGGGCACCTGTTACACTGACTTCAGCCGCCAAGAAAGCATCATTTGATCGACAAACGATAGATGCCCAGCCTGCCAGCCTCGTCACGCCCCGCGAAGCAAGACATTGCCACCGCGTCTGTGCGACCACTCGACACCGCCTCCAGCGACGCATATTTCGCCTTGGCAGATCGATCCCGTATGGTAACAGATTGGGTCGAACGCCGGGAACGCACTGCCCTCGCCAGCTTAACCTTTTGCTGAACATCGACACCATCACGCGACGACACATTCAGCCGTGAGCTTGGCCACCCCGCGATCGCTTCAATCGAAGATAATACCTCCTAAGTCTGCATCCCCGACCAAATCGAACCACGTTGCTTGCATACGTATCGCATTGCACTCACGTTTCCGATGCCATATCCCCGGACTTTGACGATCACGCATTCGGAAACGATCGACGGGTACGGAGTATACAGTCGACAGCTCAGGTCGAGTGTCTCGATTCTGCAAATCTTGGACTGGATTGTGAGACATCTCAGGCCATGCGAAAACATGCCCTGGTAGTTGCAGTGTTTGACTACGCCGGTGTCTGTCTCAAGCAATACTGGTTCCTTCACTGGCAATGTCCCGAGAGCCTTCTTCAATTCCGTTGGCATACCCTGTCCCACACAAGGTTCTGACATAAGGCCAAAGCTCTTTCGCCCCGGTGATAGGCATAGCCGGATGAGACAATAAGCTCGCGTACATGCTTCGATGTCTTGCCCAGTTTACGCTCATACGGCCTTGGCCTTGTTCATGCACAAGTCCGAATCTCATGTCTTGTTTGGGAGATGTCTGAGGTGAGCCTGGCATTGTCTATCACCCCTACGGATGATGCCGCTCTGGACTGCCCCCAACCTCTTCTCCAGCTTGGCTCTGGGGGCCGCCCCGGACTTGGCCACAGACAGCTTGGCAGCTAAGCCTCCTCTCTGTAAGCGACCGCCAAGTACCGTAGGAAATACCGCGATGATCGTCCCGTGACGGGATGAGTGGAACATTGAATCCTGAGCCCCAATCTGATGCTCCATATCGGGTCCATGATCGACGCTGATCTCATCAACTCCCCATTTAGCTTGTTCGTGATTCGTCGCCCCCTCGCCAAGGTGCTACTAGCCCCAGAGGCTAACACCGTTATATCGTCATTCCCGTAAAATCCGTAGGACAAACAACATCGCGGCTGTGCGAGTTGAGCTCGCCGCAGCTGCAGCTTTGGCTGACATGCTTCTCGGACTCGGATCACTCGGCTCAGCCATGCTTCACTCGCGTCATTGAGGCATTGTATTGTGGTTGGCCTTGATGAACAAAAACCTGCCATTGCCAGCCTGTTGTTGCTGTTTCTTAGGTCAACTTAAGCGTCTTGTGCGACATGGCTCTTCTCCATCGTGTCCTGGCCCTCGTGAGCCTTTGGTTGGGCGTTGTCTCTGCTGCCCAAGCTTCCCATCTCCACAAGAGATCCTCCTCCGCAGGCCCCCTCCCACCGAGTCAGGATCCATGGTACACTGCACCAGACGGGTTCGAGAATGCTGAGCCTGGCGCTGTCCTGCGTCTTCGACCCGCGCCCGGCAACTTGACCAAGATCACTGGCAACAGCTCGGCCGTGTACAACATTCTTTACCGGACGACTGATAGCCAGTACAAGCCCACGTGGGCCGTCACCACCTTGTTTGTGCCAGAGCTGGGACCCAATAGCACTGCAGCACGCAACTTTGACCAGGCTGCCCTCCTGTCTTACCAGGTGCCATACGATTCTGCCGACGTTGACGCCAGCCCTAGCTACACGCTGTATGATGCCGATACCAGCGTTCCTTTTGGCATAGTCTTGGGACTGGGGCTTTTCATCTCCGTACCAGACTATGAAGGCCCATTGGCATCATTCACTGCCGGTGTCATTTCTGGACACGCAACCATTGACTCGGTCCGTGCTGTGCTCTCTCTCGGCCTGGGCCTGAACACCACCTCGCCTCGTGTCGCTCTCTGGGGTTACTCTGGAGGTGCCCTTGCTAGTGAGTGGGCTTCTGAGTTGGCAGTTCAATATGCTCCGGAACTGTCAGAGACCATCGTCGGCGCTGCCTTAGGAGGCCTGACCCCCAACGTGACCAGCGTTCTCGAGTCCATCACCGGCCAAGACGGCGCTGGATTGGCCCCGAGCGCTATCCTCGGCCTGACGAGTCAATACCCCGAGGTACAGAAATACTTGATCTCCAAGCTGAAGACCGAGGGACCGTACAACAAGACCGGGTTTCTGGCTGCCTTGGATTTTACTTCACCCGAGGCTGGTGTTGCGTATGCTGGTGTTGATATCGGCGACTTCTTCAAAGATGGTCTCGATACATTTAGAGACCCCAAGCTTCAAAGAATCATCAATCGAGATGGAATTATGGGCTACCACGGCGTGCCTCAATGGCCCATCTTCGCCTACAAGGCCATCAATGATGAAATTAGCAAGGTTGCCGACACGGATGCCCTCATAGAGAGATACTGCTAGGTTGGTGCCAACATCTTGTACCAGAGGAACTCGGTTGGCACGCACTCGGAGGAGTTTGCTTATGGTCTCTCTGCCGTTTTCGAGTGGCTAGGAGCTGTTCTGACGGGTACATATGCTGAGGTGTATGAAACCGAGGGCTGTACCATCTAGAACGTCACAAGGAACGATACTTCTAGCCCATTGAAGCGACGCGATGTGCCGAATGGAGTATTTAACTTGTGGTAAAATGCGTTGCCTTTGACGATGACTTGTGTGAGAAAGAAGGAGGGTTACGGAAGTCGTAATACATGTTCATGTTGCGTCCATTATTTAGATCCCGGAAACATAGCTATATAAGATCAGAAAACGCTCAAGTAACTATTGATAAAGACTACTTCCTCATCTTACTGTAACAAGGCCCTTGATCGCTCTCTATAGCGTGTACCGAAAGTTGGTGTTTTGGATATCTGTCAAGTCTTCCTCTTCAACAGCCAGCCCAGTCTCAACTATATCTCTGGGTTCACCAAACTTTTGGTCTCTCCTCTTGTTCTCAAATATGCAAAATGCACCATAAGCGATACCACAGACAGCCACGGCAGCAAACGAGCATACAAGGGCGATGATACCTGTCTGATAACGAGGGGCCTCTGTTTCGAGGAAGAACTGTGGACCAACAATGTTTCCCAGAGCTTCTTATGCGTTAATGAAAGAACTCAAGTTGAGGAGTGGAGGTGTACTAACCATACCAGACTGCTATTGAAGTAGACACGAAACTCTTCTTAGTTGTCCCAGACGTGTTGGAAGTTTGTAGGCTCACGGCTAGAATAAAGGGAGGATTGTAAAATCCCATGAGATAGACACCTGCTAGACTGACATTTCGGTATAGCTCTGCGTCGAGGACGTGTACCATGATGGCGCCTACCATGGCGAGGCATGCTGAAAGGACCCAGAATAGGCATCGAAGATTTGGTACATAAAAAGTGATTGCCGAGAACCCGGCTTGAGCGACCATGGCAACAGCTGCCTGGGGCGTTGCTAGCAAGGCTGTTCGGCTCTGAGAGAAACCGTAGCCAGATATTATGAGAGGATTGAAGTTTGTGATGCTGGCGTTTGTAACTGAATATGCGAAGACACCAAGAGACGATATGATCCATTTGGGGTCGAGCACGGCTTCTTTAATCTGTGACAAGTTGAAGTTCTGCGTGTTCCCAGTCAGAGGTTGAAGTGGATAGAAAGGCCATGATACCGACTTTGCTTCTTTCTACGCCTGTTTGGTTGCCTGCTAGTCGCTGAACTGCAATAGCCTTCTCCTCAGACTTCAAGAACCAGGCATTTGCTGGAGTATCAGGGAGCAAGGCCAGGGTCACGATGCCCATAGCAACAGTCACGACCCCATAAATGATGAATATGTACTGGTTCCAAGTTAGCTTCCAGAGAAATCTGAAAGATGCAAACAAAGATAACCTTCCAAGTTGCCAAAGGGCCCTCAATCTTGCCAATGGCATACGCCAAGATACCACCAAACACACCGGCAAGGGTATTGCACCAGATGGCAGTTCTCAAAGGCTGCTCCTCTCGCCGATACCACATAGAATTGAGAAGCATCATGCACGGCAGCAAACAAGCTTCGAAGGCGCCCAAGAAGAACCGAATGGTGGCCACGCCGGCAAAGTTGTGGCAGACAGCCACGAGGCACAGAGTAGCCCCCCACGCTGTTAGACACCCACCGATGTACTTTCCGATTGGCACTCGTGTGATAAGCCACAGGTTGGGGAACTCGGCGAAGAGGTAGCCGAAGTAGAAGATGCTGCCGAGCCAGCTGTACTCTTGACCGATGAGATGCGTGTCCTCCTTGAGGCCCCAGAGAGCCGCGAATGACAAGGCATTCTACATGTTTTCGTTAGCGATCGAGTATCTGAGAGGATACAATAAGAGTACTTGCCTTGTCCAGGAAACCCAAAGTCATGGCAATCGTCAAGAGCGGCAAGACCACAGCATCAGTCTTTAACAGCACGCGTCGGCATTCGCGCGCCGATGGTACTGGATGTACAGGCTGTACGGGCTGCACAAACTCACTTTCCCGCTTCGTTTGGCCTTCCATAGTTCATCCGAAGCAATGAACCTACTGAGTCGAGCCGTAGGGAAATGAAGAACTGGATATTCTGTCAAATATTGGACAGTGAGGGGAATGCATGTTCCAAGTACGATGGGCAACACATTCTACTCTTGAACCTCAGCATCATATGCTTACCAATGTCAAGCACGCCAAACTCACCAAATCCTGTCAAGCGATAATCTCGAAAGATCAAGTCATTGATCATTATGACAGACACAATTCGCTGAAGAGTGACGTGAAATGGCGTTTTCTCGGCCAAGGCGGAAGTTTAGCGACAGCCTCCCATGTAATGCATTCGACCAAGTCCCAAGAAAGTGGCTTTCTGAACGCTGGCTTCTGTGAAGACGTCATGTTGGTCATTTATGGGGCCTGTAGAAGAGTGTAACGTCAAATTCTCGATAGTGTCAATCAGTTGCTATCCTTTCTATCCAGATGCTCAAGGAGGAACCCATTCTGACCGACGAGATCCTCTTTCTCGATTACATACGTATTTATACCGGAATAATAGGCGTGACCACTAACTTGAACCACGACACCCTTCATGTTCTGTCCCATAACCTCAGTTTCTACCAGACGGACGGTTTTCCCAATAAACCCGTATTCACTGCCGTGCCTGTTGGTCAAGATGGAGTGATATGTCCACGACTCTCCAATCTTGAGCTCTCCCCTGGCATACTTGAGGGCATTCCGTGCAGCTACAACACTTCCCGTAGGTGATCTGTCCAGATGTTGATCACCAAAGAAATACATGCCCGTCTCGGCCCCATTTGTCCCTTCTGCTGGAGACCCTGTGTTCTTGTCCTCGATCATGACCCCGAAAACGCAAGCATCGTTATGATTTGGGGCCACCAATTGTGACTTGACAACCTCTGAGTTGTTCAGTGCTGCCTTCAGCTGGCGTGTTGCGAAATCGAGGCAACTGATGTCGATGTCCTCCCTAAGGGACGGGAACCCTAGTTCGCTTACGTCGACATGACAGCTCACGGCGCTCGCACAAGCAAGTGAAAATGTGATACTCGAGCGGTCTCCAAGTTCTGGCCACCGATAAGGTTCTGGGATATCGACCGAAAGGTCAGTTGCCAGTGGGAAAGCCGGAATAGCGATGAAGCTCACGGGACGAGCCGGATCTGATCGAGTACCATCCTGACTTGTCGGCACGTCGCTCTCCACAAGCCCTCCCGGAGTATGCAAGACTAGTCGCACACTTCTCGTTTCGGCGTTATATACGAGGTCATGCCGCCTTGGGAAATACACTGTGTCTTGAAGATCGACAAGAAACCGACAAATGGCTATTGTGGCATGTCCACACATGTTGCTATATCCTTCGCCATGGAGATAGAGAACTCCCATGTGGGCTTCGCCTGATCTCGTATGTTCAGTTTCTGGTCGAAGCACTGCCCCATACATGCCCGAATGCCCTCGAGGCTCCTGCAACAAGCGTGTACGTATGTGGTCATGATGCAGCTTTGCCCGTGTACGCTGCTCAAGCAACGTGCCTGAGATGTCTGGGTAGCCGCTCAAGATGATTCTTGTCGGCATTCCCACGGTGTGCATGTCCACACAAGAAAGTGGCTCATGATTCGAGCTGTAGAGGAAGGCAGGAAGTGACATTCTGGGCTTCTGAAGAATACCCGCACGATCGACTCGTCCCAGTAGTGTATAAGATGATGATAAAGAAGAAGATTGATGAGCACAACAACTATCGGCCAACTGGACCTTTTGCGTTATTTAGCAGTTCTCAGCTTAGTCACTAACGAGCCCTTGTGGAACTCCTTGCTCATGAGCGCCCGGTCTAGCCAAAGAGCACTGGGGTCAGTTCAGTCAATTACTGCTTGGAACGGCGTGGAATGTTCTATGGCGATGCTTAAGCAACTTTGTAGGGACGGGATTCCGCAGTTGCGACATTTGGAACTGCTCTGACGTGATTTGATTTACCGGGAGGTTCTGGGCTATGCCCTGATAGATGTGAGAACTGAAAGTTTGCGATGCGGGTCTTAGAAACTCATGAATATCAGATATTATTGACTTCGTATGCAGGGAGATTGTGGTATTAGTCTTTGAGGCTCGAAGTCACTTCATTGCAGGATGCTGGTATCACTGACAAGGTTTACCTTGATTATCTAGGTCTATTTCTATGGTACCTCTGGGGAAGGTGGTTGATCCGTTGATTAACTATGATTGCACTGTTATCTCGACATGAGAGAATTGTTACTATGATCGAAGCAACTGTCTTGCCCGATCGTGATAGAGTAGCACAAACTGAAAGTACATGGTGCCAACTTCTTCATAGCAATCGCAACAACACTCCACAAGCCCTTGGAACTCTTGCTCGCCCAGAATTATGCGACAGAAACCCATACAACCTGACTCCATCGCATTCTTTCAGCGCGACATTCGATCCGAGAAACTCGAGGTGCTTCGTCGGTTGTCCTGCTGCTCTAATTGTCCAAATGCGGCGAGTGCAAGCTGCGAAAGATGAGTGATCGAGTCAAACAAACCCCGTGCCTGATGAGACATTGGGTCATTGCCGGTGATCTCGATAGCCGGTCCGAACTGGTTCAGAGTTCTCAGAGCATTGAGACGTGCTTCCAGTCCTAGTGCTCCGACATTGCCAGCACTATTCGCGCTCTGACGTCCCCTGTGCCCACCAGAAAAGTTCATCAAGGGAGACTCCACTCTTCCGAGGGAGATGTCAGGAACTCCGAGAGGTGTCATGATTGATGTACCTTGAGTTGCACGTCGGCCAACCTCCGGTGTGGCCATAGAACTTTCACTTGAGTCGCGAGGGAGGCGGCGGACTCTCCTTCTGGAGTTAGCCTCATGCTCATCTTGTTCTTCGGTGTCATCCCTCTGGTTGAATGTTCGAGGTCGCAGAACGCGCTGCCCGTTGCGTACAACATTGCCATCAACACTGCCGTTGGGATCGCTTCTCGCCTCATTTCTCTCAGGTGTGGTTCCGTTGGCTTGGTGGCGAGAGGAAGTAGGGGTGGAGACACTGGCACTGGATCGCGGATGATGCTGATCCAAGTACTGTATTGCTCTGTCGACGTCGATTTCGAAGACTGCGTAAGGCGTCTGGGTTTGGCGGCCATGGCGGCGAATAGATTGTTCCGTGATAGCAGGGAGAACGAGGTTGGTATCGATGTGCTCGTTGGCAGTAAGCCACGCGTTGAGTTTCTTGACGAGGCGAAGACTCAATGGCACTGTTTGGCCGAGGTAGAGGAAGAGAAGCCACGGTTCTTGAACTCTTGTTCCCAGCCCAAATCGAACAGAGAGTGTGAGGAGGCGGCCCGTAAGCTGGGACTTGGTGGCAGCGCGAGCCCAATCGTCTGAGTGGATGGCATGGAGAATGACCTTGAGAGAGGTCAGGGGGATCTGCTGTCTAATAAAGGTTGGCCAGTCGAGTAGGCTGACATCATCTGAGGCGCGACCATTTGCTTCCTCATCTCTCTGAACTTGAATGGCGACCGCCCACTAGGCGTCACGCAGGCGGTTCCAGGTGTCTCGAATGACTTGCTCGGGGCAGTTGGCGTTGGGTGAAGCTTCGTCCTGCTCGTTCGAGTCGCTAGCGTTTGAGGATCTCAGGCAGTTAAGGAGTTCCAAGATACCCGCATCTTGAAGAATTCGGGACGACATGGTGGGATCTTTAGGCGAAGAAGCGACAGAAAAGCGGATTGAAGGGCAGGTGATTGCAACAAGGGTATCAGGAGCGTCGCTGCGAGGAGGAGGCCCAGTCGTGTAGGATAGAATCTTGGTGTATTGAGCACAACGTCAAGCGAGCCCCAAAGACGGCCCATCTCACCAACTGGATGATGATGAAAAGGGAAGAATCGGAGGTGGAATGAAATGGAAGGAGTTGAGGTGCACGAGATCTGGGGTGCGCGTCACGTGCAATAGATGGAAACTTTAGAGGAAGGAGCCTTCGTCGACTGTGACGGGTTTGACAGGACTTCATGGGTGCGGCAAAGGGGGGGAGATAGAGGGAAATAAAAGGCAGAGTATGTAATCAATTAAAAGTCTTCGCGATACGTCAGAAATTGGGAAAACGCGTTGGGCTACGCTGTGTGTTGAGATGGTCGTCTTGGTGGTGAAGAAAGAAGTCCGACTGAAATTTGCCATTATCGATGCAAGAGCGAGACCGGAAATCAATGAAAAGCATTAAAAATGGTAATGTTATGTTGAGTTGTAGTATTGAAACTGACAAGTTGGGTGACAACGTGATAAGACTCGAGTGTAAGGGGTCACTGTGCATCTCCTCGATCGCAACATGGATCAAGATGCCATTGGAGATATGCTTGAAGACATGCACATAAATTAGGTATATAAGACGTGCGTTTACAGTGGGGCTTGATCAAAAATGACTGTGTGGTCATCGTTTGCCTTGTCTTGGATAACGACCAAGCTCGTCGACCACGATCCATCCTATCTCATGCTGCAGCATCTTGACCATGACTGACATCCATACGAGTGCCTTTGATGGACGGCTCGAGACTAATCCACACCGAGAGACTTACCTCATACACCATTTCAACCTCGCTATTCCTCTGGTGCAACTCCTCCATAGCTCTCCTCACGCTAATTGGCTGTGTCAAGAGCACGACACAGGCCCATCGCATGGCGACATCAAAGCCCTGATAACGCACCAAAAGCCACCCCCAGACCCCGGGTTCAAGTGCCGAAATTACGATATTTGTCAATCCTGATTGGTTACGACTGTGATCTCTCTCTCCGCGGAGACGTCATGGGGATCTCTTGGGAGCACTTCATCGCCATCACATCCACATTCGGATGCTTGCTGTCTGACCTATCCCCCCCCACGCAAATAACTCATCGAGATGCAGATCTTGGTAGAGGTACTATATAGTACGGCTCATAAACATAGAATATCAGGTAGAGGTACTCGGTGGGAGACGAAAATGGAAAGGTCATCAACTTCTGCTGCAACCCTCGAGTCGTTGCAAGATGCTACCTCGAAAACACACGAACAAGGATATCATGATGCAATAAAACTCACTAGACACACAATTGGCTGCTGTCATAATCTTTTTAAAGGGCGATGATGCGCACTTTTTGGCCGGACTATTGCCCAATCTTCACTTTCCAGCTTTTGCCTGGTCTCAACAACAATGGCTTCTGATCTGAAGACAGACTCGCCTCCTGATCTTAGCGATGAGGCTGGCACCATCGACACTGAAACTCCTGTCAATGAAAAGTCACTCCTACGGAAACTGGACGCTAAGTTGCTTCCAGCCGTTGGGGTCCTGTATTTGTTATCGTTCTTAGATCGCAGCAATGGTGAGGCTTGGACTGATTTCCGATGACGACAAGTGTAACTCACCTCGTGAACAGTCGGAAACGCTCGGATCGAGGGAATGGTCGATGACCTCAACATGAGTACGAGAGCCTGTAACCTCGTCGATCAAATCTGATGCTAACTTGTGTGGTAATTAGCTGGAAATCAGTACTTGACAGGTCTCACTCTATACTTTGTGGGATATGTGCTTTTCGAGGTTTGTTACCCTTCAGCCGCCCCATTTCTTTGCTAATTCCTTAAAAAAGATTCCCTGTAATATTATTCTGAAGCGCACTACTCCGAGACTTTGGCTTCCAACCCTTACCATTGCTTGGGGCATTGTAGCTACCTTACTCGGCATTGTCCAAGACCTCAAGGGTTTCCTCATCGCCAGATTCTTTCTTGGTGTTACCGAGAGCGGTCTATTTCCAGGAGTGGTGTTTTACTTCTCCATGTGGTACAAAAGACGAGAGAGACAGTATCGCATCTCACTGTTTTTCTGTGCAGCATCCCTTGCCGGTGCCTTTGGTGGTATCCTCGCATATGTGAGACCTCTTTACCCCATCGTGAAGGCATTCATCCATCTAACAGAATCTTAGGGTATCGGCAAGATGGGTGGTGTCGTTTGGGAGAATGGCTGGCGCTGGATTTTCATTCTGGTAGGAGCAGCGGTACCATATCACTGGACCAAACTGACACTCAACAGGAGGGAATAGCGACCGTTGTGGTGGCCGTGGCAGCATATTGGTTCATCGAGAACTACCCTGATACTTCAAAATTTCTCACCAAGGCTGAACGGACCTTCATCCACGAGCGCTTGGCAGCGGACAGTGATGCTATTCGACAGGAAGAGTTCAGCTGGGGAGCAGTCCGTGAGGCGTTGAGCGATCCCAGTTGCTGGCTCTATGGTTTAGGTTTCCACACAATGAGTCTGCCTCTGTATACTCTATCCTTGTTCCTGGTTAGTCTATGGATGCGTTTATATCTATCCTACCGCTTACATTGTCATGCCTAGCCCACCATCATCAAGGACCTTGGATACAAAGCAGCCGTTGCACAGCTCTTGACTATCCCGCCGTATGCTCTCGCATTTCTCACGACGTTGGGTGTTGCTATCATCTCTGAGAAGCTAGGTCGACGTGCTCTGTTCATCGCTGGGTCATCCCTTGTTGCTGCCATCGGCTACATCATCCTCCTCGCCAACACTAATCCCACAGCTCGACCGGGAGTCTCGTACCTGGGAACCTTCTTTGCTGCCGCCGGTATATATCCTGCAACCGCCCTGGTGCTTTCTTGGCCCGCAATCAACGTGTCGGGACAGACAAAGAGAGCCATCGCGAACGCAATGCAGATCAGCATCGGGAATCTTGGAGCCGTGTTGGGAACACAATTGTACCGAGCCAACGATGGCCCTCGATTCATCGTTGGACACTCCATGGCTTTGGGCTATCTGGTGGCAAACGTTATTGTTGTGACTTTGCTGGGTTGGCGGCTGAAGAAGCAGAATGAAAGCCGTGCCGCGGTGGCGGAGGAGATTAAGCACGTTGGTGAGGTGGAAGACTGGAAGGGTGACTCGGATGTTAGATGGAGATTTGAGTATTGATTTACCAAGAGAGGTCTCCATGATCATTCTATTATGCTTAGTATCTCGACTCGTAATCAAGACATAGTGCTCGGCGCCTAAACCAGAATAAAGGCAACTTCTGGGTCCTTCAGAATATGTAACCAATTGTGCTGTGCTCCATCCTTTCTCCTCCTGTCCCATATTACATGCAGCGTGTCAATGGAAGTATACACAAATCCCCAGGGAAGGCAGTCGGCGAGTCTTTTCATCCTTGACATACTCCAGGCCTGCCTCTCTGGGTCTCGGGCTTGAGCTCCGGCAATAAAGGTTGGCCACGGTGATGTCTTGAAGCTTGGATCCCCGTGAGGTATCGACAACAACTGGAGGAAGAGGTCTTGCTCCAAGGTTTGCTCAGTGTCCGGAGGTAGATGGTCCCTGATGGAGGGAACTGCGTATAAGATGTACAAGCAACAGGCCAACTGGTGTGCACGCCCCGCATGTGTGCGGCTCTGAATCTCGGTGACTTGGCGGCCATGTGGCACATCCTTGATGTCGCGCGCCCAGGCATCCAAATCGTACGACATGGCACTATTCATGTGCTCCATCCCTTCTTCAGTTATCCTCGCAATGGAAACGCCGTCATCACTCGGTTCGTTTGAGAGTCGTGCCACGGCCATTAAGATCTGCAAGATCTCGGCGGGGCAGCAAATGTAGCTGTTGTTGGAAGCAAAGCGGATGACTGATGGAGCTTGCGCAGTGTAAAAGTAGGATGAAGAGGCTAATAAGCCGTTGACGACTGTAGATGCAAAGATATAGCTTCTTGAAGAAGATCAGTCTCGGGTTAGTGTACTGGTGGGTTTGACCTACATGTAACAGTCCGCTATGATGAAGTCTCTCAGCATCTTGTTCGAATAACCCCCTGGCTGAAGATGTCTGAGCACATTGCCACTGCCTTCAAGGTGAGCTCTCCAGCCATGCTTGCCAGACTCGATGAGTTCCAAGGCGATAAAGAAATGGGCTGCCGCTAGAAGAATGTCGCTCTTAAGGGGGCTAGCTTCCTCAATCGCCAGACGAAGTGCCTCGAGTCCTTTCTGCTTAGCGACCAGGGCATCTGCAGCCACATGCCGGGAAGTTGCCAATGCCTGGCGACTTGAGGACTGCGGCCAGGCGAGTTGATTATGAGCTCGAGGCTTTAGGAAATTTGACATGTGAGTTGCCGAGGCAGCTATAATGATGTGTCTCAGGAGTGGATGTGCTCCGCTTAGAGGAACCAACTCGTGGAAAGGATTTAGGCCTGGGAGGTCTATAGCAACTAGATCTGGGCATAGTCGATTTGTGACTTGTGATGTTAGCCTAGACTCAATATTAAGAGGATGTGTCGCGTCACAAAGAAGAACTAACAGTACGATAGATACTGACGTTCCGCAGACTTGACATCTTGGAACAGAGGGTCAACCAAAGCCCAGGGAATCGTTTGGTTGCTGGAGCCTGAAGATGCTAAAACCTGAGCACGACTATGGCATAGCCTCGTGTTTGCAGAGACGACCGCGTCTCTGGTGGCTGTGCTTTTATACTTGATCGAAGACCCCTCAGCAACCCATGTTGAGTCGTTCAACACAGGCAATTTGTTACCGGCCAGCTTGCCTCGACTGGCGACTGCACCCGCCCATCTATACAGCTTCCCATAACCGAGACATTCCTTGCCAGTAGTGGTGCACTTGCGACAGGCCGGAACTGAGCGATCGCATCGTAACCTACTGTATCGGCAGTTGTGGCAAGCTTTGCTGGAAGGGCGCTGAGGGTCCATAAGCGATGACCCAGAGCGAGCGACGAGGTCAAATTTGACTAAGTCGATGCGCGACTAGAGCGGCCTTATCTCTAAAGATATGCAACCGACAATTGACATGGTATAGGAGTTGCTGGTTAGCAAACGGGGCGGTAAGGACCCTTGATGCAGAAGAGATAATTGGGTTGAAGCTGTGACTAGGTGGAAACACAAGTGCCTCGGCAATTCACAAACGTGCACCAGTTGGTCGACCCGGTAACTGAAATGCCCATGGAGTTGTAATTATACGAGTGTTTGGGGGTCGGCGCCCAGCGGAATCCTTGGTGGGAACTAACCGAACACCGAACATCTCGGAGGGCGCAACGCGCTGCGACAACTGGATGAACTCGGCATATTTAATTGATAGAGACCCGGTTCTTCAACATACAATTTCAAGCGCGGAGTACTTTGCTGCCAACGGGACAAGCCACGTCCTCCAACCCAACCTTCACATCAGCTCCGGATGACAAATGATTCAGCCGCCGATACGGAGCTGTGGAGACACTAGTCTGTATCAGGAAGATATAACCCCATGTCCTGCAGAGGCAAAAATACCCCACGCAACTTTGTTGAGTTGCCATGCGGACTCAGTCGCGAGCTGTTGGCACCATCGTTCACCGCAGTGTATTCAAGCCAATCGTAAGATGCCATTGATTGGGAATCTTATCTCGTGCCCAGATCGTGTGGTAGTGGCAGCCCAATCTCAGAGCTTGCAGTTGTGGGTGGAGCAAAGGGCCATTTTGCCAAGATGAACTCTCATGATGTCAGAGTTTGCAGAATAAGAACCAAGGGTCACCCTAGCCCAATTCTTGATCCTTTTTTGTCCTCCTGACAGGCCTTTCTTCAACCTGGGTGCTAAGCAACACTGCGCCGGCCCAGCATGTTCAACATTGATCGACGATAAGCAGCTCGACCTTGACCTTTTCTCTTTGACCGTCTTTTACTTGCTACCGCGTCTCTTCTGTGACCCAATCTCCAACATGACTCACGGACAAGTCGTCGTCGAAAGCGAGGATCCCGAATCCGCAACCAATACCATCATCGATGTTGAAAAGCTGGGCCGACAGCGGCCAGCGGCCTTTGCCACGCTATGGGCCGAGTTGGGTTTCATATTCTCGCTTCTAGGCTCCATGGCAATGGCTGTATGTTCCTCGTTTCTTCGATTCTTTATCACTTTGCATGTACTAACTGGAAAATAGGAATTCTTCGTGTCAGGATTTCACATCATCCTGCCGCCTCTAGCCATTGAGCTTGAAATCCCCGAAGCATCTCGAACGTGGCCATCGAGCGTGTTCTCCCTCGTTACGGGCGCATTTCTACTACCACTGGGCCGGTTGAGTGATATGCATGGCGCCTACATAATTTTCAACAGCGGGCTTGCATGGATGTCGGTCTGGTGTCTGGTCGCCGGCTTCAGTCACAACTATATCATGCTCATTATCTGCCGTGCTTTGCAGGGAATAGGAGCAGCGGCCTTTCTACCTGCCGGTATTACTCTGCTTGGCAAGACGTACCGACCAGGGCCACGAAAGAATTTCGTTTTTGCCATATATGGTGCTTTCGCACCTCTTGGGTTCTTCATCGGCATCCTGATAGGAGGTATCTCGGGCGAATTTCTGTCCTGGAAATGGTACTTTTGGATTGGTGCAATCATTCTTGTCGTCATATTCGCTGCCGGATTCTTCTCTATCCCAAACGACTTCATTAAACAACCCCCTGACGGCCTTGGAATGGACTGGTGGGGGGTGGCAACCATCGTACCAGGTCTTATCCTTCTGGTATACGCCATCACCGATAGCTCACAGGCACCTGAGGGCTGGGCCAGCCCTCAAATTATTGCCACCATTATCGTTGGCGTAATGATTCTGGCTGCGGCCGTATACCTTGAAGGTTGGGTTGTCCCAAACCCCCTTGTCCCAGCTGACCTCTTCTCGCCGCCATACATGACAACCCTTGTCGTGGCTCTTTTCTTTGCCTATGGCAGTTTTGGCGTCTTCCTTCTCTACAGCAGTTTCTACATTGAGCTTGTCCTCGAGGTATCGCCTCTGCTAACGGCTCTATGGTACGTTCCTATGATTGTCGGTGGTCTTCTCCTTGCCACAGTGGGAGGCCTGGTTCTTCATCGACTCCCCGGCCGTATCCTTCTGATAGTCTCCGGGATTGGATACGTTGTTTGCTGCCTCCTTTTCGCTCTCATGCCAGAAAACCCGAACTATTGGGCTTGGGTTCTGCCAGCTATGGTTGCATCCACAGTTGGCATCGACATTACATTTACCGTCAGTAACGTTTTCATCACGACAAATCTACCCGCACGGCGTCAAGGACTTGCAGGAGCACTAATAAACAGCACGCTGTTTCTGGGAATCAGCTTCTTTCTTGGGTTTGCCGATGTGGCCGTGGGACAGACGTCACGCCCAACTCTACGAGAGAGTTACCAAGTCGGATTATGGTTTGGTGTTGGCATATCAGGAGTGGCGCTATTGATGTTGGCATTTATCAATGTTGGAAAGGCCAAGAGTGATTTGACCATTGAAGAACGAGAGCAGATGGAAGCGGCGAGGGGTAGAGGTGAATAAATGGCATAAGACGGTGATGATGTATGGCTTTAAATATCAGGGCGTTAGGAACAACTTGGCGCGAAAGGCCAAGATCTTTGATCACCACTCATAGACAGACAATCTCCAAGACAAATTTATTTCAGCAACGCGACTGTTCAATGTCTGGTGAGCTGGTCTGCCCTGGGATGCATTACCACCTTCTCCTAGGACAAGAATACATTGACACCAAACGCTGTTAGGACCTAGAAGCTCGATGTTGCCTTTGCCCGCAACCTCGCCCCATACCTCCACATGAGAAGTGGTGCTGGAATTCCAAAGAAGAGTCTTGCGAAAGCCATGGTGTTGTTTCCCCATCCGTAACCTAGCACCGAGTACATCTTGGGTGTAAATAGGGGGAACAAGAATGCAGTCAAGCTTCTGAGGAACTGTGTTGCCGCCATGGCACTGGATGTATGATCCGGATATGCATCGATAGTGTATGCCTGCATGGGCATACCTGCAATCTGCATGCCAAAGGTTGTGAAAAACATGCCAACATCGACCCAAGCCCAGTGAACCTTGTACTGGGCACACCACCCATAGACAATGAAGCCAAAGGGGGCTAGAATAGCACCAGGAAGTATGAGGGGGATGCGGTGTTCAGGAACAGGCTGTCCATCGGCACGGCGTTCCATTCTACGGAACGAATAGTCCATCAAAGGCCCAGCAAGCTGAGACCCGGCGAGCTCTCCAAGCATGCAAGAAATGTAGTGGAGACCACTAATCTCCACGGACTGATGGTAATGATTGATCCAAAGGTCGGCGAAACTCGAAAGAACAATGTACAGAAGCCCGTAGCTAATGGCCGAGATGATGGATGATACTTGGATGATTGGATGGAAGGCAAGAAGTCGTAGTGGGCGACTCAAAGCTTGACCAAGAACAATGGCAAGATTCGATTGGCTTCGGTGCCGCTCTTCTTGTGTGTAGTATGGGGCACCGGTTTCTTTGCGCAGCTTCTTGGCTCGTTTTTTAAGAATGGCTGGGGCAAACGTCTCGCGGAAGCTAGTCAATGAAATGACAACCATGGCAAATTGGAAGATGGATGTTGACCAGAACATCCATCTCCAAGAGACACGGTAGGTCATGAAGCCGCCCACAATTGGACCTGCAAGTAGAATTAGCTATGGCCTGGCGGACACGCGGTTCAGGATACTTACCCAATGCGGCTCCCAGCAGGGGAACCAGAAGAAACCACCCAAGAGACCTCCCGCGCTCCTCTGGGCGCCATATATCACCCAGAACTCCACCTCCAAGTGCGTATATAGCACTGGCTCCAAAGCCGGCCAAGAACCGGGCAGCAATGAGCAGCTCCTTGGAGTTTGCAAAGCCACAAGCGATGTTCCAGACCAAGAACCAAACGTTAGACGCGTGCAAGATCACCTGGCGGCCGTATACTTCGGACAATGGTCCAATCACAAGCGGGCCGAAGGCAGTTGCCAGCAAGTAGATGCTCAAAGCCATCATAGCCTCAGTCGAGTTCATATCCAAATCGACTGCAATCAAAGACAATGCGGGGGCCATGACAGTTGATACGAGGATTCGATTGAAACCGGTTACCGAGAGGACATTGGTCACAGTCCATTTGCGTCTTTCTGGCCAGTTCTTGGGGTTCTCGCTATCCTGGTCATCGAAAGCAACGAGATATGGATCTGGTTGAACAGGGGATACTGTAGTCAGCTCAGTCCCGACTGGGACGTGGTTGTTCGAGGTGGTCTTTATTCTGGAAGCCATATTTGAGTTGAAGAAAAGGAATAAGAAGAGGACGAGATGATGATTCAGAACCCCGCAATAAATAGGCATCAGCAACGCAGTCTTCAGGCTGAATCATGGAGTGTAGATCTCGCGGAGCTAATGCGGAGATATCGGCAGCGAACGGAATTATTGCGGTCACGGCCCCTGACCAGGTGAACTCGACACAAGTTAAGCGAGTAGGATGCGACAAGGCAAGGTATTAGATCCATAGTCAATTGAAAAGAGACTGGGGGCATGTTCCAATATGGAAGGTGATTGCGAGTGCAGTAAACGTCCCCACAATCACAAGATGGTGTAGTCTATTGATGCAAACTTGAGGCATGAATCTTTAGAAACTAACCTCTGCCAGGAATCTTGAACCCAGAGGCTCTCAGCTTCTGGAACACTTGTTGGGGATCATACTTCTTAGAGGCGGCCTGTAGATATCGGACGGACTCAGTTCCATAGTGTTTGATTGGATCCTGGTCGCCTAGAGCATAGTTGAGGTACTCCCAGTTCTTGTTCGCGCTAATGCTGGTGGCATATTTGTTGATGGCATTCCTATACTCGAGTGTCAAAGGGGCGATCTTCTTCTGGTTCTCAGCTGTGTCAACAGTGACGGCAATGAGCCAGTTGAGAGCAGGACCATCGGCGACGACATCCTCAAGACCGAGAACATTACCACCCGCCTTGCGGGAGTGAGCCACCATGGACTCAGTGAACGGCTGGAACTGGACAAGAACGCTGAAGTCGGAGCCTGGGGCTACTGCCTTCATCTTCTCGACATACTCGGCATGTTTCTCATCTACAAACTTCATGACCCGGATATCATTAGTGGCCATGCCAGTCATCCAGTTGGCACTAGAACGGGGTCAGTACAGCATGAAGGGGCAGCCATATGTGAACGTACTAAAGGCCCAAGGGTGTAGGACCCGTGAACTGAGGCACAAGGTCCGCAATCTTGCCGGTGGTCAGTGTGTTGGAAACATTTGGGAGGGAGAGAAAGTCGTCAAAAGCCGGGGCAGCAGGAATGGCGTCAGAGTTGGAGACAACCGAGATCAAGATGCGCTCTTTTCCGTTGTACTGGACCGAAACGATCAGCTGAGAGGCAGGGTCAAGATGCATGTTTTCGGCAAAGTCGATGTATGACTCGAACACACGATCGCGTTGCGACAGGTCGAAGCTAACAAAGCCTCCCCAAAGCTTGTTGGAGTCAACAACGTCTGCCGAACGGTTCTGGTTAGCGCTAGGAGAAAGCGCAGTTACGAAGGGAAAATGGACTTGCATTGGTCGACTCGAGTCACAAACCCCAGGTTTCCAGAGCCACCCTTCAGGGCTTTCCACAAATCAGGGTGCTGGTTCTTGTTGGCGTTGACAATTCGACCGTCGGAGAGAACCACCTCAAAGTTGGCAACAACATCGCAAGCAAAGCCACGAGCGTTTGAATGGAATGAGTACTAAAGAGAGGTTAGAACTTGACCGCTGCCAACGCGTGCCAGAGTGGTCGTGAATGGGCACCTACTCCTCCTCCAGTGGTGAAACCACCGACACCAACAACAGAAGCACGGCCGCCAACAGCCGCGACGCCGTGTTCGTTGAGCGCCTCGTAAACACGACCCCAATTAGAGCCGGGTTGGATCGATGCAATCTTCTTTTTCGAGTCGTAGGTGGTAGCGTTCATGTAACCTCCAAGTAGTTAGTCATGATACAGGAGGGCAGGGTGCAGATATCCGTACTGAAATCAATGGTGATACCATTTTCAACTCCGTTGGAGCCCTTCCATGCAGAGTGTGCACCACTGCGTATGCCAAACGGACATTTCTTGTTGGAAATGACCTGGGCTATCTTGGAAACGTCCTGTGTAGTCTCGGGGAGAACCATGCACCAAGGTTCGAGGGCTGCATTCGCTGAATAGTAGGTCTTCAAGCGGGCGTCGTATGCGTCGCTTCCGGGGACATAGATCTTTCCCTTAAGTTGAGGGACGGCGGCGAGAGTAGAGCACTGTATTGTCTGTGTCAGCAAGAAGCTGGAGAGGCTTGAGAGCGGCGCAGAAAACTCACGCATGGACATGAATCGTGTGTAGCCGCGGCTAACGCACCTGCTCCCAACAGGGCGAGACTGGCAAGGGAGAGTTTCATTTCGAGAACAGATGAGATGTACAAGAAGCAAGAAGGTGTTCGATTGGGATATCAACTGTCAGATAGAGAAAAGATCAACAAGAAAAGAAGGAAGGCCAGGCCCTAATAAGACCTGGAAAACATCCGAATGAACCAAAGCATCCCATGTTACAGACATGATTACGGAGCCTCCAAGGATGGGCAAAACTTGCGAGAATTCAGTCCATGCACAGCACGGACTGGTCGATGTGAGATCTTGTCCGCTCAGACCTTGAGGGGTTTGGAGATCAGTGGAGATGCTAGACCAGGGCATTTAGCTAGGCTCCGCCCTTGGCGCTGGTGATCTGGGGAAGGCTGGATTGCTAGTCAACTGTCATATTGTTTATCGAGATGAGTTCCGCACCGCCGATGAGATTAATGACCGACATCTGTACGTCAATACCTTACTGCGCGAGAATCTTCCACAAAATGTTCCAATTTGCTTTTCATCGTTACGGCCCTCTTGGCTGTCAGTTCAGCCCAGCTCAGACGTGCCAAGGCATACTAGCAGAGTTTCGCCCCTTCTAATAGGCACCATTTTTCAGCTCTGCATCAAAGATTTGGTCATCACAGAAGCCACCAATCTCCAAACGCCAATCCCTTCCTCGAGGGGATGGCCTGGCATGCGCAGCCCGTCCCGCGCGACCTTGGCCGGTGTGGGCTATCCCGGCTTTCCGGAAGCTGGCCGCCGTTCCAAGCCAATGATGCGGGCTTGGCGGTGCAAGCCACGGGCTGAACGAACATCGACGGCTCCTACAGCACCTCTCGTGCCTTAATCGTCAACAACCGGCGTTTCACGCTAACCTTGCATCCAATGCTGCGGCTGTAAGCTATGACCAGAGCTCGTGTTCAGCAATTCAGGAGATCATTCCCGTCTTTAACCTAGGACTTCTGCATCCCCAAGATCGACTTGTTCCTGGCTTCCTCATCCTCGTTTATTCCCGTCATGTCGAAAATATGACGACCTTTCCTACCATCAACGGCACAGAGGTGTTCCGCCTGCCTCCTCCTGGCTATGGGCCTCTAGACTTTGACAACCCCAGGCAGCAGAAGAAGCTGGAACATTATTTGATCTTTGGACTCGGTGCCCCACTGGCATTGATTGCTCTGTTGCAGAGATATTACACCAAGATCTTTCTGTCCAAGGGGTTGCAGACTGATGATGGTAAGTTGCAGGAATCTGAGAGTAGAGTCATAGAGAGTAGAGGTTGCTAATCTTATTCTAGGGTTCATGTTTCTTGGCTGGGTAACTCTCCTTGATAGCCATGATGCCAGACAGATTCTGTTTCTGACTGTTGATAGTTGTCATCTGTCTTGACCCAAGCTTTGCTTATCGGTAAGTGTCTCTAACTTCCTCAGTCACTTGATTCACCTAACCTCAGCTTCATAGCTTCCATCGCACAAGGTGGAATGTGTGCTCACAGCTGGGAGATGAGCCTCGCAGATTTCCAACGCTATTCCTTGGTGAGTGAACTTTTCTCCGCCGTTCGGTCCTCAGCCCAAACCTGACCGCGAGCCTAGATAAGTTATCTTTGTGGACCAATCTACCAACTATGCAATGGCTTCATCAAGCTGTCTCTCCTATCCCTCTACCTCCACCTCTCTCCTCAGAGATGGTTCCGGATAGCAGTCTGGCTTACCATTGGCATTGTCACGGCGTACACCATCATCATTACCTTTATGATGTGGTTTCTCTGCAACCCTCCCCGCAAAGCCTTTGACTTCAAGGTAGAAGGTGGCTCATGCACTGATGCGGCCATTCTATACATGGCTACAGCCGTGTCAAACATTGTCACCGACGTGATACTATTCGTGTTGCCGATCCCGATGGTCTATAATCTACATATGCCCAAGATCCAAAAGTTTGGAGCCATCATCGTCTTTGCAATCGGATCCTTGTAAGTGATTCGATAATCCTAAAGGTCTTTTCTAATCTCTGTAGAACTGTTGCCACATCGGTGACCAGACTAGTATATCTACCCGTGGTGCTAGCCAGCACAGATGTCTCTTGGGACTCTGCACCCGCCAACATATGGACGTACGTCACGTTTTGGCCGTTAGCCTGAACGGTGATGCTAACAATCATAGATTCATTGAAGCTAATCTCTTTGTCATATGCGGCTCTATGCCGACCCTACGCAAGTTCTTTAAGCACTTCATGCCTCGTATTGTGGGATCATCTGGAGCCTCTCACTACGGAACGACCTCCTACGGTCAGCATCAACAAAGCAACACGCTCAGTCGAGTGCGTAAAGGCCGCAGCCAGTATGCGCAGTTTCCTGAGGACAATGCCACTGAGCTTGAGCGATTCTCTGATGATGACAACAAAAATGGTGGGACGGTCGTGGTTGGCAATGCAAGTACTGAAGGCCTACGGGACGATCATAGTGAGAGGGCAATTCTACAAACCCAGACTTTTACAGTTCAGTACTCATCATGAGTAGCCGAGTCGCTGAAGGGGAAAGATCCTATTTTCTACAGTGTAAGAACAGCATAAATAAAATCTACGCCTTTGGATACCTATTGAGATTGAACAGTTTGAATAGCAACGTCTACTTGCCAAGTTTGCGTCTCTTCGGGCTGTATTCTGACAACTCTGATCACTAGCTCACCGTTCTTTTAAGCCATCTTTACAATGACATCCAGATCATTGGTCACTTCTGCAACACACGAGCAGTCACAAACCACGCACTTCTTGAATCAGCTTTCTTTACGGTCTGCTAATAAGGAGACTACTTGGAGGCCTCGAGTTCCTCCTTCTCGCTTTCGCCAAGCAGCCCCAGAGCCTCTCGTCGTGTAGGAGCTGCAGCATCAAAGTATGGCTTTTCGGCCAACGATGTCACTCTAGTTCCATGCCGTGGCTCCTTGCCACTGTAGTCCCAGCTAGCATTGTGAATGGTAATGCTGCAAATGTCAGAGTCTTGGTCTCCCCGTGGGCGGAATCAAGGTACATACCGGTTGTCCCAGAGAACAGAAGTTCGGGGTGTCCATCTCCAGCGCAACTGAATGTCAATGTTCTTCTCGTATACATCATACAGATACCCAAGAATTATGTCGCTCTCGGCCTTGTCAAGTCCCACGATCCTGTCGGTCATGGCACGGTTGACCCAAAGGGCCTTCCAACCGGTTGCAGGATGAACTCGAACCAACGGGTGAATCCGCTCGATGTACTTGGGACCAGCCTCGGGATCATCTCGGTCCAGATAGGGGTGTGCGGACCGATACACAGCGGACCTTCCGTCAATGATCTTGCGGAACTCTGGTGACAGCTTCTCGTAGGCAGCATATCCGCTGGCCCAGCTTTCGAGTCGTTAGTATTTGGCCTGTCAATAGACGCTAAACGAAACGTACAGTGTGTCTCCACCAACACTAGGAACTGTGTCATTGTGAAGATGAGTGATTCCAGCAGGCTGACGCTCGTGGACGAGATCTGTGTGCCATCTTGATGCACCTCCAGGCTGGCGAAAGGTCGCGGGTCGTTCCGTGGCTTGAAGGTCAGGCCAAATGATTGAAACACCTGGAAGGCCTGGGACTTGGGCAACTTGGGGCTGAAATACAAGGTCAGATTACTTGCAATGGAATTATTCGAATCTTTGGTTGTTCAATACTCACATGAACCTCGACCTCTCCGTACCACTCGCCAAGCTCCTTCTGCTGCTGAGGGCTGAGGTCCTGGTCTCGGAAGAAGACGACGCTTCGCTCAGCAATTAGCAAGGCAAGTTCGTCACGCTGCTCGTTTGTGAGGTCCTTGAGCTGCAGGCCCTCGATTTCTGTTCCGATGTGGGCAGTCAAGTCGGTAACCTTTGTCGCCGCAGAGAAAAGGTTCTTCTTGGACTTGTCTGCCCTAGCTCCTGCGTCGACATAGTCACGAGGCTGATCACGGATCTTGTACACGTCTTGCAGAAATAGCGGACGCGAGGGACGATAAGGGTAGCCCTTAGAAAGGTCTATGCCTGCCTTTTCAAGTCTCTCCCGAGCCGGCGCGGGCAGCTTGAGAGAGTCCTTGATAGGCTCGGCAACATCCTTGATGCTGGGATCGATTGGAGCAGGAACCATGGTGACAGGCGGCTGATAGTTGATTGGAGTATCAGTTGAATGGGTATGAAGGTCTTTTGGGTTGTTCCGTCTCATATGGCCAAGCACACGCTTATTTATGACATAGCCGTTGTTGCATCGATCCCCGGGTTCCCCAATTAAGGACATCTCGTCATAATGGCACACGATGACCAACCTGGTTTGCACGCCATCTCATTGGTTATCGCTTCCGATGCGATATGCAAAACTCATTGCAACATTAACATCTGGCCAGTGTTTTCCGCCAAAAATGGCGCCATGAAGGATCTTGACTACAACGGGATAGGCTTGCCTACCCCTCTATAGACACAAGATGGTGTGCAGTCCAAGATTTGTAAGAAGGATCCCCTCATGGGTTGCGATTCGGACAATAGCGATTTGTAATGCAATTTCTGAGAAGTGACTGTGCAGTCATACTTGGGCTCTTCGGTCCCGGGCCGAGCAAACGAGACTTAAGTACCTATGTGGGAGCCGATGTATGTATCATGATCTTAATCGGCCGGAGATAAGGAAGATACTGCCCCGATGGCTTCAAGATACCTATCTTAAGTGCCATTTCTTCGAATAGTCTCGGAAGACTCGATATTATGATCTTCCGTGGTCCTGGTTAGTTGCTTCGGATTTAAAAGTTCTCGTTAATGAACTATAGTCTTTGGCCGCTTCAGTCTTCTTATAGTTGTAAGTGTGCCGGCCGTTCAATCTTCTTCCAAACTGGCGGCCGGTCAAACGCAAGCTAGTTTTATACGACGTGATCATGGTAAGAGTGATAACATCTTGGCCATTTTGAAGATTGTGCTGTTCAGTTTGCCACATCCTAGACTCACGAAACCATCGACCCTACGCTACCCAAAAGGTCAAGCTTTGTAAACGAGATTATCTATGGAAATGTCTATCTACGAAAGACTGGGCAGCCGCACCCGAAAGCAATTATACGTAGACGTGCTAAGCATGGATTGTTGCCTTCCTCCAACTACCGCAAGTCTTCATCTCATGCATGTCTCGAGATAGCCTTGAGCCCAAGAACTGACTAATTGAGTGAGTATTCGAATATAGTTACGAGAGATCGAACTGCGAAGGGCTTGCAGTATGGTTAACGAGCCTGTACGATATGCACCCTCGGAACTCCGAGATTCTCATCATCTAGTTTCAGCATTCTTGGGACTCGGTTGACGCCTAAGGCCAACTCATAGACCAAGGAAGCACCCCAAGGCCATTTGGGTGGAGCAGAGCTGTCACAGGATGAACATTTTCCGCGATTACTTCATAACAGCTGCATAGCTATTCAATGGCTCTCAATCCAGTCTATCCAGTATATATTAAAACAACGAAATTACAACTTGGCTCGAGCAACGCTTGCAAGCTCCTGACTGCCACTACTGCGCCAAGCGGCTGTCTCCTTGGGCTTTGATGTCTTCCACTGCCACTTGGGCTCTGACTGTTTCTCCTCAACCAACAGCTTCTGTACCCATTGTCCAAAAATAGGAAGCATCTTGAAACCGTGTCCCGAGTCACCGGAGAGGACAACAAGCGAAGAGTCGGTTCCAGGCACAAAGTCAATGATGTAGTCCGAGTCATCTGTGTCGGCGAACCAGCACAGATGTCTATCGATCAACGGACGATCCGCGAGTTGTGGGAATACCTCCCTTAGGAGTCTTCGGATATGCACCTCATCCTCTTCAGGGATGAATTGTGACTCGGAGAGCTCAGAGTAAGGAATTGAGAGGCCATCCTGAGACCAAGCGTAGTTGGTGTAAGCGCCTCCCATGTGACAGAACTTGAGCTTGTTGGTGGCCTTGTCGGGCTCGAAGAAGAAGGCAAGATCCCGCACGTTGGTGACAGGAATGCCTCTCAATGCGTCAGCCTCTTTAGGAGTCAACTGGATGTGTGCGACACCCCAGCAGCGACCTGTCATTTGCTTGCCCATGCGGGGAATGAGGTTGGAGGCATCGGCGCCCAAAGCCACGATGGTCTTGTCGGCAAGGTAGATTCGGCCTTCTCGGGTCTTTGCTCCAACACATTTGGTGCCGTTCCGGCTCGATGCGTAGAGCAGAGACTCAACCTCTCCCTTCTGACTGCCAAGCTGGAACTTGACACCCAACTTGACACACTCTGCGTACACGGCACTCAAAGCGTTGGCAGAGTGACCGTACCCCGCCAGCTTGTTAAAGTAGCCAGCCCAGCGTTGCACATGATGGAATGCGGGAACCAGCTTCTTGATGTCGGCATTTCCGTTTACGCGCTGCACCTTGCCGTTGAAGGCGGAATTGTCCCGTACAGATGCGTAATAGCTCTCAAGGACTCGTTTTGTCTGGTCGGGCGCGTTGTTGGATCCGACGTTGAGGAAGCCCGTCTCATGGTAGTGAGGTTTGTACAATGGATCAGTCTGCCATTTCCGGATGGCTTGCTACTCAAATGCATCAGCAGAGTGTGCATGGCCAATGCAATGCAGGATACTCACCAGGGCCAGCTCGGTGTAGAAGGGATCCGCATACTCGGCTCGAATCACCTTGTTGAGATCGTTGGCTGCTGAGAAGCGACTGGGGACCTCGTGGTCCTTTTCCAAGACGGTAATGTCTGAGTAACCATTCTGGGCCAGGTGGTATGCGGTCGCTAGGCCAAAGCAGCCTCCGCCGAGAATTAGGACAGGTCGTGATGTGTCAGCCATTATGATCTGTGATGGGACGTAAAGAAGAGATACTGAACAGCAGCAGCAGGAGAAGTCCAGCGGAGGGTCAGCGAGGGGATTTATGTTCTCGTCATCATTGGTTTCCGCCTTTTGCTGGTCATGAAAGATAGGGAGAGCCTCGGGATGCCAGCCGATATCGCCGCCATCATCGTAGTTCCGCCACCGCTGGTTGGACAGGCCCATTTCCCCTCACTCTTGTCAACTTAGTTAGCGTAGCCGACGATTCTAAGTCGAGAAGAATCGACTCCACCACCTGTCGACGCCCTCCCCCGCTTCTTCGCCACTCCCAGCCTCTTACTACCCCGGATCGGATAAGATACACCAAGCGCGATAGCCGAGGCGCGGAGAGGAAACCGAGTGTTTGGTGGGTGAGAGAAGTCTCGAGAGTTTTGAGTTATCTAAACTTGAGGGCAGCGTCTTTTTCATCGCAAGATAGTACCTACAAATTCAACCGAGGCAGGTCCAACAAGTCTCCTTTGAGTTCATGCCAATGCGGCTGCCGGCGCTTAGTTTCCGGTTCCTTTATCGCCCATATGCGGCCCCGGCATGCCCCGGACATTCCCCACCGGTCATCTGGTCATTCGGCGTACCCTCATCGGCAGAGAAGCCGGTTGCTCCACCAATAAATGGTTATTTGCCGAATCGATGAGTTCAAGCTTGGGCTGCCGGTATTCATAGTTAAGCCTCAAGTTAGAGATGTCGTCTGATGTAAGGGACCGTGATTGAAGTAATTCGGTGGGACTCACTCGTGTCTTGAAATGAGTGATGATGCTAGATGTGAAATGCACAAATAGAGTTGCCAGAGCGTGTCAATTGGAGTCAATATCTTGCTTACATTGCTTTCCCGTCTCTCACATGGAACATGCCTAAATGTTACTCAGTGTGGGAAAGTGCTAGGTTCCAAGGCCAGCGCTCAAAATATGCGACTCAGATCGGGACATCTCGAGATCAACCTGGCTGACAAACCCACGCACACAGTATAAATAGTCCTAAAGTTTCTTCGCTTAAGCATACGGACGAATTTATCAACACATTGCTTTTACCCATAGATGCTCACGCTAAGGGTGGTCTTGCTTGTCCATAGCTACGACCGCCTTCGAAAGTGGCGCTGGTGACCACGGAATACGACCCGAGGAGCCACGGCAATTCACGAATCATAACTGATAACATTGTTTCTGACCTACTTCTCACGAGGCTTTATTGAAATCATATTGACTTCCAGGATGGCATGAAACGGTAGCTGAGAATCTCGCATCAAAGGTGATTGACAACTCGATTTAGTCCGGCATTGTTACCCTGGAACGTCATCAACCAATTTCGCTTGATAATACTTGCTCACAGTTGATGTTTGAGCAACCTGAACTACACAATTAACATTAGTTTTGAGTCTGACTCACAGATCTTTGACCTGCTATTCTTGGGGGTGGTGGCCTATGATTGTTCTATCGTCTTTGCATCTCAGAGCATGCACTGATCCAGGGCATCGGAACCAGTAGCCGAGATTCTAACAAGTGGCTTATCCTTCTTGGATTCATGGCTCGACTACGGTTTAAAAAGCTTTCCAAAGCGTGATATAAATTCTCAAACCTCAATCACCTCTCGCAACTCGCTGTGAATCTAAGACCAAGCTATACTTCTTCAGAGTGTTGCCGATAAGCACGCACGCGGGTCGAGAAATAAGCAGAACATTCAAAGGGACTACCTGACTCTCCTCAAGTGCGAGATAAAATGTTCAGGGATACAAATGACACCTTGAAGCTCTTTTGCCTACACTTATCACACTTTATTTACTATCTTGAACTGAGGGAGGATACGCTGAAGGGTTTTATTGTCCTAGTGTCTCTTTCTTTCTCGATCCGGATGCCTCTGGTGGATGTCCGGACCCGCTTAAAGACGAAATCTCGTCTTTCCGAAATCGGTTAGACTTGATTATATCAGCATTCAGACCCATATATTAAAATGGGACTTGGCCAATCACAAACTTCTCGGATCATGGTGGAAAGATATCCGAAGCTTTCCCGACATACCCATCGATAAAAGCATAACCCCGCCTTGAATCTGCTTCGCCTGGGACAAAAACAGCAGGCGTGGCCACGCAATTGCCCTTCTGTGGCTCCATCTTAACTCAACCCTGACGCTCGCATCGAAGCTATTTGCCCACGGACATTTTATATGCACCATAAGCTTTTTGAGAAAAGCGAGACAGTGATGCCCTAAGGCATACCAAATTCTACTCTACGATACATATAATTCCCACCTGCTAATGATGGAACTTGTGGGCTGCATGCTCCCTCTC